AGGAGAGAGTCACATGGTCAGGAATGGCACTGTCAGCTGTCCAAGAGTTGGAGGGTGGAGTAGATCCTTTCAAGAAACGGAATCTGGCAGAGTGAGGGGGCTGGTGCAACCACGCTTTTTTCTTGTTGTGTGTGTGTCCCAGTCCCTTTCCAGGGCCAGGCAAACAGCAGGTGTGTGATGCATGTTGTTGAGTGGTTGAGGAATTCAGGACAAAGGGATTGTCCCATTGCCCTTAACTGCTGTGCCCAGCTGGGGCCATATTGATGGACGAAGCTAGTCAGTACTGTTGGCCATTCCCCATATTTGATTTTTTAAAAACTTTATTTGGAAAAATTTCAAATTTACAAAAACTTTGCAAGAATCAAAATGGTATAAGAACACACATTTTCTTTACTCAGAATCACCTGTTGTTAACATTTTGCTCCCTTTGCTCTCTTTCTCCATATATACACGTGATATTTTTGTTCTGAACCATTTGGGAAGTTACATCTATCATGGCCTTCTACCTCTAATTACTTCAGTGTGCATTACCAAAGGACTGGGATGTTCTTTTACATAACCAGAGTATGGCTATCAGTACTTTGAACTACTGTCTGTACAGGGGTGGGCAAAAGTAGGTTTGCAATTGTTTGTATGGAAAATACAATAATAAATTATACAAGAATAAACTGCTTTTGCCCTCAAAATTGTAAACCTACTTTTGCCCACCCCTTATTCCAGTTTTGTCATTCGACCCAAATATGTTGTTTAAAAAAATTTTTCTTCATTGAGGTCTAGTTGACATACAGTAAACTGCACATATTTAGAAAGTACAATGTGGCCCTGGCTGGTGTGTCCCAGTGGTTAGAGCAGTGACCTATACACGGAGGGGTCACAGGTTCTATTCCCGGTGAAGGGCACGTACCTGGGTAGTGGGTTTGCTCTCTGCTCCCAGTCCCGGTGCATTCAGGAGGCAACTAGTGGATGTGTCTCTCACATTGATGTTTCTCTCTCTCCCTCTCTCTCCCTCTNGGCACGTACCTGGGTAGTGGGTTTGCTCTCTGCTCCCAGTCCCGGTGCATTCAGGAGGCAACTAGTGGATGTGTCTCTCACATTGATGTTTCTCTCTCTCCCTCTCTCTCCTCCCTCTCTCTCTCCNCGGTGCATTCAGGAGGCAACTAGTGGATGTGTCTCTCACATTGATGTTTCTCTCTCTCCCTCTCTCTCCCTCTCTCTCCCTCTCCCTCCTTTTCTCCCTCTCCCCCCTCCCCCTCTCTCCCTCTCTCTTTCTCTTCCCCCTTTTCCCTCTCTTGCTCTCCCTCCCTCCTTTCCACTCTCTTTGAAAAGCAATGGGAAAAATATCCTCTGATGAGGATTAACCAAAAAAAAAAAAAAAAAAGTACAATGTGATAAGTTTGGACATGTGTGTACACCCATGAAACTCTTGCCACACATCCATCGCCCAGTTTCCTCATGCACCTTTGTTATACCTCCCCTGCGGTCCTCACTGCCCCGGTCCCCAGGTAACCACTGATTTTCTTTCTGTTGTTATAGATTACTTTGTATTTTCTTGAGATTTATATAAGCGGAAACATAGTGCCTGTGCTTTCTTTTGGTCTTTCACATCTTGTTTAATTCCTTGGTACTCACCCATGTGTTGTGCATATCAGTAGTTTCTTCCTTTTTATTGCTGAATTATTATTCCATTGTATGGGTAAATCACAATCTGTTTATTCATAGTCCCTTGTTGATGGACTTTTGGGTTGTTTCCAGATTTTGGCAATTATGAATAAAGCTGTTATAAACATTCCATATAGGTTTTTTATGGGCATATATTTTCATTTCTCTTGGGTGTATATCTAGGAGTGGACTTGCTGGGTTATATGGTAACTCTCTGTTTAGCATTTTGACAGACTGCCACACTGCTATAAAAGGACATTAGTTCAGTTCCTCAAACCATATGAAAAAATTAACTCAAGCCCAGCCAAGTGTGGCTCAGTGGTTGAGCGTCCACCCATGAACCAGGAGATCACAGTTCAGTTCCCCGTTAGGGCACATGCCCGGGTTGTGGGCTCTCCAGTAGGGGGCATGCAGGGGTCAGCCGATTAATGATTCTCTTTCCTCATTGATGTTTTTATCTCTCTCTCCCTTTCCTCTGAAATCAATAAAATAAAATAAAAATTTAACTCAAAATGAATCATAAACCTAAATGTTAAACTAAAACTATAAAATTGAAAAAGAAAACGGGAAAATCTTTGTGACTTTGGGTTAGGCAAAGACTTTAGATACAATGCATGATCCATAAAAGCAAAAGCCCCCGATAATTGGACAACTTCAAAATTAAGAACTACTTTTCTTCGTTGATACTGTTAAGAAAATGGAAGGACAAGTTTTTGCATTTTTAGCAATCTGACGGGTGAGAAATGTTATCTCAATGTAGTTTTACTTTGCATTTTTCTTATTACAAGTGAAGCGGAACATCTTTTCATGTCTAAGGACCTAAGTCTTAGTCTCTGTGCCCTTGTCTTTTAGACAAGGATTTTTTTGCCTTTTTACCTCTTGCGGTTTTTTTGTGTGTGGTTTTTTAAAGTTCTTTGTGTATAGGGAATTGGCTCTTTATTTATGATGTATGTTGCAAATATTCTCTCCCAGTTTGTCATTTGACTTTTTACTTGGCTTAAATGTTTGTTTTTTGAGGATATTTTTCATTGATTCAAGAGAGACAGAGACATAGACATTGATGTGAGAGAGAAACATTCATTGGTTGCCTCCTGCATTTGCCCTGCCTGGGGATCAAACCTGCAACCCAGGTATGTGCCCTGACCAGGAATTGAACCTGCAGCCCTTCAGTGTACAGGATTGTGCTCTAACCCACTGAGCCACACTGGCTTATGTGTTTTTAGCCATGCAAAAGTATTTTATTTATTATCGTATCAAGATTTTGAATCATGCTCAGAAAGCCTTTCCCTATACCCAGGTTATAGAGGAATTGACCCGTGTCTTCTCCTGGCACTTGCATAGTTTTATTTTTTATATTTAGATCTCTGAGCTACTTGGAAGTTATTCTTGTGTACAGATCTAATTTTATTTATTTTTTCCAAATAGCTATATAGTTGTTATGACACCATTAATAAGACCATATTTTGCCCCAGGATTTCTAAATATCATCTTTATCATACATTAGATTTCTGTGTGTAATTGGGTCTATTTCTGGAGTTTAAATTCTGTTCCATTAAGTGATCTATTTATTAATATACCAGCACTACATTGTTTGTTTTAATTATAGAAGCTTTATAATAATGTATAGTATTTTAATATCTGGTAGGGCTAGGCCTTCTTCTCAACTTGTTTTTATTATGTTTCTAGATATTGTTGCAGGTTTATTTTTTCATGTTAACTTTATTGTCAGTGTCTAGCTCCATAGAAAGGTATTTTTATTGAGATTTTTTATTATGCTGAGATGTCCTATAGAACAAGGGATTTTTTAAGTCTTTTGTGTCTTTCAGGAATTACAGTTTTGTTTATATAGGTTTTGAATATTTCTTGTTAAGTTTATTCCTGAATAGTTTATCATTTTCATGGCTATTGAAATAGAGTGTTTTCATCTATTATTTCTTCTATTGAGTTATTTGTGGGTATGAAAGCTATTGATTTTTGCATGTTAATTTTTATATCCTGCAATCTTGGTCAGTTCTTTGATTGTTTGGGTTAGTTTTATCCTTGATTCTCTTAGAATTTTCCAGGCTTATTCTCACAGGATCAGCAAATAGGGATTGTTTGCTTCTTTCCCACTTTGTCACCTTTAATTATGTTCTGTATCCATTTGCACTGGCTGATTCCCTCCAACAGAATGTTCAATAGCCATGTAGATCACAGGTGCTTGGCTTTGCTCCTGACTTTGGTAAGAATGCCTCTGGTCTTTCCTTATTGGGTAAGGTGCTGGCTTTAGTCCTGAAGTGTGATATTTGACTTTTTAATTCAGAAATCTTTGGGCATTTTCATTTGATAATGGGAGGCAGATGGTCTCACCTGAGCTCTATCCCTGAGCTCTGGATAGAAGATGAGAAATGAAACCTGTCAGGTAGGGAAGGGGAGGTGGGCTTCCTTTGCTTCTTCTCTTACTCTGCTTCCCCTTCAAACATATATTGCTTTTCTGAGGACTCACGCTCTCTTTTAGGGATGGAGAAGCATGTTATCCCAGTCCTATTCTCTTACTAAAATGACCACCCAGATTAGGGGGTGGGCAGCAGGTTTTTAAGAGAGCCCTTGAGTTACCTCCTGGCCTCCCTCTAGCACTTTTTAAAGCAGTTTATATATATATATTTGTTTCAGAGGGAGGAAAGGGGAGGGAGAGAGAGATAGAAACATCAATGATGAGTCATTTATTGGCTGCCTCCTGCACACCCCCTATTGGGGATGGAGCCGGCAACCTGGGATTGTGCCCTGACTGGGAATCAAACTGTAATCTCCTGGATCATAGGTCGATGCTCAATCACCAAGCCATGATGGCCATGCTCCCTCCTGCACTTTTTTTTTTTTT